TAATTAGTTATCCCAACCTCTTATCCCAAGTTCGTTCTCATGTGCACACCTATATCAATAGACTACTGTCGACTATATATCAAAAGCCACGGCCCTCAGCCTTCTGGTCTTACAACGAGTGTCCAGCCAGTAGGAGTCTCCCCCGAAGGCCCGACCTCGCCATCGGACTTACATCGGGGTACTTATCGCTGACCGAGCACGGCCCTGGTCTCAAGCGACGTGTCCTTCACAAGGACATAAAGAGGAGATTACCCCATTGGGGTCGTTCTATAGTTACGGGGATAACCGTTCGACGGTCGTTACAGCTCCCATCGAAGGCTACATGTTCCACATGCATACTTTGATCATACTACAAGTAAAACAATAATATCAATATTAACATTTACAGCATAGCCAATTTTTCAAAACTCACCTGGTGTCGGACGATAATGCAAAATTAACCAAAAGGTCGTAAGTGGTCAAGACACCGCTCGTCTGACACCTACATAAGTCAAGACAGTCCCATAAACAACTATCTCGACTCTTACACAGATAACGAGAATTATACTTAGTCGAATGACATCGACTATGAAACTCATGGAAGTTGTGGAGTTGGAACATTAGGACGACCCCTAGACCCGCCTAACAAATTTAATAAATCATATAAAGCATGCAATAAATGTTTGACACAAAAACAGGGTCGACAAGTCAAGGACTTGCCATTAAAGCCAACCGGTGCCAAAACCGGTCAAAAGAACTAGTTCAAATTTATAAGAATATGACCACAAGGAGTTAGGCTTTGACTTTTCAATTCAAATTTTTACAGCATATAAAGGGCTGAAAATCATACATTCTCACCAAAGGAAAACCCCTCGACATGCTCCTAACTATTTTAAATAAATTAAGCAAAAACTGACCAGAAATCGAATTAATTTATTTAAAATAGCTACAGTCTGAATTTAACTTTGAAATTTTTACAGAAGCAAGATAACATTACAAACAGCGACATAATAAAAAATTAGCCGTTTCAGACAAGAACTCCATTTTATATGAATTTATTAAGAAACAGCTCAGAAATGGTTTTCGAGTTTTGACAAGGCTACAGGTCAAATAAAAATCCCAAATTTGAACTACAAGTAAATCAACAGTAATATTACAACATATCTAAAAATCAGTATTTTTGGAGCAATATACGAATTATAGTGTTTTTAGCAAAAACGAGCTGTAACACGATTTTCAAAAATTCATATCTTACAATATACACATCAAAACGACACAAGGCCAAAGCCATTGCGTCAAGGACATTCCTAAGTCCAACATTCCATAGCACTTCCATCGGAAATAACACATTAGCCACAGCTCGACTATTTTTTCAAAGTGACGGCAATCACTTTGATATCCAATGACAATTATACATATCAAAATTCACACGAATAAATTACTAACGCATATCACCAACTTGTATATCACACGTACAGCAACTTATTACGTAGTATATCACAACAACACAAGTTAACACATATGATAATAGATTTGGAAATTACTACAATTAATCATTCAACAAATTCTAAAAAAATAAAATCAAGAACATGAACATATATAGCCAAATCGAGCGGGATAAGAAGCTCGGTTACCGTTCTCGGGATGGAGGTCACGGAAAGGGCAAGCTGAGACTGAAATAGGCTACCTGAGGAGGCTCGATAACGTCGTTTGGCTCGCCGACGGAGCTCGAATGACGGGACGACAACTAGGCTCGCGATGGTGCACGTACGGACAGCGGCTGCAGCGATCAAGCTCGGGACGATGGGCTCGACAGCTAACAGCGGTTGTTCACGGTGGGTCGTTGGATCACGAGCTCGATGGACGGCCTGCAGGGACGTCGCAACGGACAAGGCTCGCTGAGAAGGGACTCGCGAATGGACAGCAGCGATGGAGATTGATGGCGATGGAGAGGATGCTGCCGGAAGTTGCTGTGCGACGGAGGATGGTCTCGCTGGGGTTCGCTGATGACCTTGCAAATGGCTGCTGCGCAAATCGCCGGAAAACGCAGAGAAAGGGCGGCGATTTGAGTGATGATGATGGTGCAGAACTTGGTCGCGGGGAGGGTGATGATCGCCGGACTGCTGGAGAGGAACTTCTCCTTCGGTTGTTGATGGTGACGATGATC